CGGGGCTGGTCCTCCTGCAGCACGGCTGGGCCCCCTCGCCCTGGGGTGTCCGCTGAACTAGGGCTCTGGTCTCCTCCAGACAGATATGGACAGCGACCTGGTAGGAGACATCTGTGACACCAACGAGGACAGGTGGGGACCGTGCTGCTGCAGGGTCACCTCCCCGTCCCGTCCCTGGGGGCAGAGCTGGGTTCCTGGCTCAGGGGCCTGGGGAAGGGGGACGACGGGGTTTTTGGGGTTGGCAAGGGTGCTGGGATGTGGTGCTGGGACCCCGGTTTGTGGCGCTGCTCTGACCTCGTTCTTGCTCCCAGCGATGGGGATGGGCATCAGGACACCAAGGACAACTGCGCTGAGATCCCCAACAGCTCCCAGCTGGACTCGGACAATGATGGGCTGGGGGATGACTGTGATAATGACGACGACAACGATGGCATCCCTGACTACACGGCGCCTGGCCCAGACAACTGCCGCCTCATCCCCAACCCCAACCAGAAGGACTCGGACGGTGAGCGCGGGGCGGGTGGGAGGAGGCAGAGCCGCCTGGGCTCAGCCTGGCCCTGACCGGGGTGCATGTCCCCAGGGAACGGTGTGGGTGACGTGTGTGAGGAGGACTTTGACAACGACACGGTGGTGGACCAGCTGGATGTGTGCCCTGAGAGTGCCGAGGTGACACTGACTGACTTCCGCGCCTACCAGACCGTCATCCTTGACCCCGAGGGGGATGCCCAGATCGATCCCAACTGGGTCGTCCTCAACCAGGTGTGGGTGCTGCCCCCCGAGTTTCTGGGGACTGCGCTGCAGAGGTGGGAGCAGAGCGGGACTGGGAGGTCCCAGGGGCTGCTGGGGACACATCTCACCCAGCTGTCCCTCACAGGGCATGGAGATTGTGCAGACCATGAACAGTGACCCAGGCTTGGCTGTTGGTAAGAGATGCTGTCCCACCTGCAGACCCCGTGGGGCCACCCCCTACTCCTGTCCCCCTGCACTGGGGGGTGGGGGCCGGTTCTT